CGCGCAGCGCGCACAACGCCAACGCGTGCCTGCAGCAAACGCCGCGACAGCTCCTTTGAGATTCTGCTCACCAAGTGATCGCACGGCTCAGTCTTGACCCCGAACCCCAGGCGATACCTCGCGTAAAACTTGGCGCGGATGTCTTTCAGGTCACTGTTGGGCAGGAGCGCATCGAGGTCATCATCCTCGACGCCACGCTTCTTCCGCGTGTCGGAGATCGTTTCGGCCTGCCTCGCCGCGGTCCAGGCCTGGCGCAGCCGCGACGCTTGAATCCCTGGGAAAGAAAGGCCCTCGATCTTTTCGATTACCTTGGTTTCGACTTCCTGCTCCGACGTGAAGAAGTGTGTGAAATCATCCATGCTCTCGAGGCCCGCGACTGACACCAAGTGGGTGGCCACCTTGGGGTCCAACCGGAACGCGTTGCACAAAAGCGTAAACAGCTGTTCCGCGGCCTCGCGGCCTCCCGACACAGACGGCAGCTGCAACGCCTGCCCGCCGATCGAAAGCGCCATCGCGCACGTGAGGACAAGTCGCAACGCCTCGCGCCCTCAAGATCGCTGGCACGTCTGCTCGCGCGCTGAAAGCAACGGCTTGCGCATGGCGTGCGCTGGCGTTATTGCGCGCTGCAACATGCGCTCACAAACTGCTGATGCAGCAAAATGCGCGGACATGGCCACGCCGCACCGCTTGTGCGCTCATACTGCGCTTGCGCGGCCCCAGCGCAGGCTGCTGATGCAGCACCCGCGCACGCACGACAACTCTACGATTTCCGCTCGCGTGGGTCGCGCTGGTGCAATATACGCGCGAAAAGCGACCGCGCGGACATGGCCGCGCTGCAATGCTAGTGCGTACGGCCCTGCGCCCGCGCGGCTATCGCAAGCACGGCATCCCGGGCCGCCAGTACCGACGGCTGGCACGCCGCATGTTCCAGCTCATGGGCTGCTCGGGCCAGGAACGCCGCGCGATTCTGGCACCTGCGGCATACCAGATCACCGTCGGTCAATCTTCCGACCCACGTGGGGGAAGCCAACGTGACGTCGCACGCGTTCGTCAGCTGCTTCCCGTTGACTAAGACAGAAGTCTTCTCCGCCTTTCGTCGCTTGCGTGATCTGATATGCGGAGAGCCGCTGACTTCAATGGCGACGTGATGACGCTCATTCGTGACAATCCAGCCTAGCTCGGCGGGAATGCCGATCGTTGCCCCGTCGCAAACCTTGGGCAAAGCGCACAAGCGACGCGCGCGCTCGCCATGCAACGGCGCTGGCGAGAAGACCGCTGCTGATGCGGGGTTCAGTCTGGCTGGCTGCGACGGTGGCGCTGGGTGCGCCTGCACAGCGACCGAACGCTTTGCTCGCATGACGCGGCTTCGGGCGCTATTTGCGCCGGCCTGCGGGGCGCCCGCTACCGTGTCTCCCACGGCCGATGATGGCGCGGAGTGCGCCTGAACGAAACGGCGGCGCTGCACATGCGCACATTACGCTCCCCCCCGGCGCTGCGTGCGCCTGCACCGCTGTTGTTGCTGCAGCGGGCTGCACATACGCCCGCGACGGTGACGCTGCCTGCGCCTGCGCGGTAAAGAAGCGCTCCGCGCACGACGACCCCTGGCGCTGCGTGCGCCCGCCTGCGCTGATGCTGCTGCAACAACGTCGCCCCCAAGGGCTGACGTTGGCGCTGCATGCGCTCGCGCTGCTGCTGCAGCTGCCTGCACATACGCCCGCGACGGTGACGCTGCCTGCGCCTGCGCGGCAAAGAAACGCTCCGCGCGAATTACAAAGCCCCTGGCGCCGCACGCGCCCGCCTGCGCTGCTGCTGCAACAACATCGCCCCCAAGGGGTGACGTTGGCGCTGCCTGCGCCTGCGCTGCTGCTGCCGCAGGGGCAGCTCCAACCGCTGGCGCCGCTGCTCCCGCAAGCTCCCCGGCACTCGGCTGCGCTGCCGGCTTTGCCCGCTCGACGGGCAACGCTGCGGATGACTGGCTGTCTCTTTCCTTATCGCTGCCGATCTCGCCTTCCTCTAGCGCGCGTTTACCAGCGATCCCGCGCAGGCGCTGCGCCCGCCGCGGCCGCTGCGGCGGCTGGGCAGCGCGGCGGCCCCGGCTGCGGAACTGTCGCCTCAGCGCTGCGCTCTGCTCCCCGTAATTGGACGCGGTGAACGCGCCAAACCGCCGGCGCGCCAGCTCTTTCTTTACCGCCGGCGGCAGAAACTTCGCGGGCTCGGGCGCGCCCTGTGCCGCCAGCAGCTGCATCGCGCGGCGCCGCGCGCCCGCTGCGACCTCCTGCGCGGCTGGCGTATCCCACCAAGCTTTGACCCCTTCGAATCGCAGGGGGGCTGGCAAGCTGGCCACGGCCTCGTGAAACACTTCGTGCATGTACAGACGGACGAAACCCTGCTGCTCACGTCTGGTTCCAGCGTATCGCAACGGCATCATGTTCGGGGCGCCGGTGCTTCCGCCACCATCGCGGGGCGTCCAGCCCCCGCCAACAACGCGCTCTGTCCACGGAAGCTGCACGCTTTCCGCCAACGTCGGCATGAAACGCCTCAGGCTGTACGACGTGATCAGTTTCCTCTCGAGCGGTGAATTCAGACAAAGGCCGATCTCAGACTGCAGAAACTTTGAGAAGTGCGCGAGACGCCAGAGCTGCCCCGTATCCTCGTGCGCCGCGAGGCCCCTTGGCAGGGGGGCGCCTTCGCCGGCAGCCCCTGCGCGCTTATGCCACGCGTCCCAGAGCACATCCGCTGCGCAACGCGGCTCCGCGGTCCGCACCAGGCACCAATCGAAACATCCGCCGCGCTTTCCGCGGTAACATCTGAACCAGGCCAGCGCTCTCGTCCTTTCAATCGGGTACGACCGTGACAAATGCTGGAATCTCAGCCACCCGTGGCACAGCGCGATCGCTGCAGCGGCGGGAACCTCGAGCCAACCGCGCTGCGCTGCCTGTGCGGCAAGTATCTGATGCAGGAACGATACCATGCACGGCCCGAGCACGGTCGCTTGCCGCAACTCTCCCCCCGCTTTGCTCGCGGGCCGCGCGTCTGGCTTCATCGCGTCTTCGAGCGCGAACGGCGCACCGAGATACTTCTGCAGCCACTTCAACCGATTCCACACGCGCACCCCGGAGGCTTGTTCACCGCACATATGACATATGAACTCGTCCACCATCAGTGTGCTGCCAGCAGCCTCCGCGCAGAGGGGCTCGAGCTGCCGTGCTCGGGCCCACGCCTCCCATCTCGCCCAGACGCGCAGCGCGTCCCGGACCCCCGCGCTCGCGAAGCGCGCCAGCCTCTTCGCCGCCGCGGACCCGGGTCCGCACAAGCGCTGCGCCTGGCCCTCGGGGATCCCCCGCGCCAAGCCGTGCGCTGGGCCCCAGGACGCGGACAGCTGCACCGCTGCCCCGGCCGCGCTGGCGCGCTGCGCGGCGTCCGCCTCCTCTGTGCCGGAGGCGCTCGCCGCCGCGCGCTGCACGCCGCGCCCCCCTCTTGGCGGGCGCAAGCCAGGGAGGACCATCGCCAGCGCGCGTGGCGGAGCGTCCGCCTTGCGCGCGGGCGGCGCTGACTGCGCCTCGCGGGCCACCCTGTGCCACGCTGCCACTCGCGGATGCCCCGCGAGCTGCCGAGCTCGCCGCCACGCCTCCTCCTGTCCCGAGGCCGCGGCTGCCTCCACCGTGGTAAAGAAAAATGCCAGGTCGTCGACGTCCTCGATGCCTACCTCCCTGACGAAACACCAGAAGCGAGCGCGCGCGTCGACCGGCAACGTACTCCCTATGGCGGCCAATCCACATTCGCCTGCCATCGCCACCGCCAAGCAAATGGATGCGAAGCGCAAAAGACAGCAGAGAAACCCGAGAAAAATCAAATCGCAAGGTGAGCGCGGCCACCGCGGCCCGTCGCCCCCCCTTCCTCGCAGCCCCTCGGCGCGGGCAGCGAAGGGGGGGGGCGCCCCCCCCCTCTCTTCGCCCCTGCGCCCCGAGCTGCATGCGCGGGCGACGTTTCCAAGGTGTCCGCGCGCGTACATTATGAAGCACTCACCCATGCCTGCCCGGGCCTAAAGTGCACCCATCATCATCGTCATCATCATCATCATCATCATCATCATCATCATCATCATCATCATCATCATCATCATCATCATCATCATCATCATCATCATCATCATCATCATCATCATCATCATCATCATCATCATCATCATCATCATCATCATCATCATCATCATCACAAGCAGCATCACAATCAGCATCGCCATCACCATCACCATCTCCATATCCATCATAAACATCATCAGCATCATCATCGCCATCAGCATCATCATCCTCGTCGTCGTCATCGTCATCATCATCATTATCATCATCAGCAGCATCATTATCATCATCATCACCACCATTATCATCATCAGCATCATCATCATCGTCATCATCATCACCATCAGCATCAGCATCATCAGCATCATCAGCAGCAGCATCATCACAAGCATCATCATCAGCAGCAGCATCATCACAACCATCAGTGTCATCATCAACATCATCATCAGCATCATCATCAACCTCATCCTCATCCTCATCCTCATCCTCATCATCATCATCAGCATCATCATCATCATCATCATCATCATCATCATCATCATCATCATCATCATCATCATCATCATCATCATCATCATCATCATCATCATCATCGTCATCAAAATCATCAACGTCATCAGAATAATCCGATTCCTCATCATCCTTCCCGTCCTCCTCCGCCTCCCCCTCCTCCTCTTCATGTCTCCTCCTCCTCCTCCCTCCCCTCCCTCCTCCTCCTCCTCCCTCCTCTCCTCCTCCTCCTCCTCCTCCTCCTCCTCCTCCTCCTCCTCCTCCTCCTCCTCCTCCTCCTCCTCCTCCTCGTCCTCCCCCAGCATCCCCGTCAGGACCCCGGCGAGGACCAGGCTCCCCGCCCTTGACGACGGGGCCCCAAAGGCGACGCCCCGACGCCGCACCCTCCCCCGGATCCCCCCCTGCGGGGTCCCTCGCGGCGTCGCGGGAGTAGAAAATATCGAAGTTGCCCGGCCTGCCCGGCAAATGATGATAATGATGAGGAGGAGGCGGAGGAGGAGGAGGAGGAGGAGGACGAGGAGGAGGAGGAGGAGGAGGAGCTGATTATAGGTAGACGAAGAATGACATAAAAACTTGGACGTCCGCGCGGATCTCTCGGATACGCGCTGGACCCCCCTGGCGGCGCCTCCAGCGCCGCTCCTGACGCGCTCCACGCGCCAGGGACGGGGGTCCAGCGCCGATCCGAGAAATCCTTGCGGACCTCCGAGTTTTTATGTTTATGTGATTCTGAGCTCCTCTATAATCAGCCCGTCGCGCGTCTGAGCAACTCCCTCCTGGCTCATCCTTCCTCTGTCTCCTCTTCCTCTCCCGAGTCGAACTTCTAGCTCTGACAATAATTTCACGACAGAAGATGTCGAAATTGCCGGGCCTGCCAAGAAGGGTAACCATTTGAAGAGCCAACGCAATCATGCTCTGTCATGACAGTCTGGGGCCAATAGCGACCTAACACATGCGTAAAACAACTGGAATTGCCTGAAGGCCAAACCTCATTTGGCGAGCCAATACGCGAAACAGCGGCCGTTGAAGGTAGACATCGTGCGGGACTACGGGAACGTATCAGGGCTGTCCTGCGAACGTGGCCGAAACTGGGACCCAAAATCACGTGCCCGCACTCGGTGAACCACTACGTGAACTCGCAACCGAAACATGATCAGTGTCGCGCCAATCGGACTGCCCCATCCCAGCGCTGCCGTTGAAGAGGTAGTACCAGGCTTGTGCACAAAGGGCGAATGAGCACAGAGTGCACATCGCTAAAAAAGGCGGCGCGCGCAGTGTATATCTGTCATAAACCCTCCCGAGCCACTTCGTCGCGCATGCGAGCCTGCCACTCCTGCTCCTCTTCCTCCCCTTCTTGCCCCGCCTCCTCCACCTCCTCCTCCACAACTGACTTTCTGACTACCTACCAGACCACCCCAACCCAACCCGAAGACCCGAATCTGGCCCGCATTTCGAGTAGGGGGGGGTACGGGCACCATGTGTTCTTACAATGTTCACCGACCACCCCCCCACTGGAAATGGAGGGCAATTTGAAGCCTTCGGGTTGGGTTGGGGTGGTTCGGTGGGTGGTGACTTCCTGGGTCTGACGTTACTCTTCACGACGGGCTCTGGAGGCATGCATTCGTCTCGCTCCCACCGCGTGACACTTCCTGTCCAGGGGGCCCGACCGTCCGCGCCGAGAGGGGGCATGGCGCTGCGCATGCAGTTTCGCGCCGCGCAGTCAGCGGCTCGGACTCGCGCGCATCTGCACGAAGCCATCTGGGTCCTGACCCATGGGGCTTCGCAGAAACGCCACAAGACAACGTAAAGTGTAGCATGGTCCTGCCAGTTCTCCGGGCGAAAGGTCTTGAAACACACACACACACACACACACACACACACACATCTGTTTTATATATATATATAACAGATGTGTAAATATACAGCGTGTGGGCCGCCGTTTGCCACTAAGTGGTGGACAGACTTAACACAGTATAGTGGACATGCTCCTGGCCCCGAAGGGCGGCTGGAGAAGGCAGAGCTGCAGACCAGCTAGATACCAGACGGACGAGCGGGACGCAACTCCGTCCTTCTCTTGCGAGAAGTGTTCGGGCAGTGGCTGGACGGGCCGAAATGATGCGTTCGCACTAGGAGAATTGAGAAGGTTCGGCCAGACGGAAGGAGAGCTTAGGCGCGAGGGAGAGGAGGAGGCGGAGGAGGAGGGGGAGCTGAGGTGAAGGGAACCTCGTCGGAGGGCATGGGGGAGTGAGGATCGGGATGGGAGGTGGAGGGGATGAGATGGAGGGGGGCTTCTCGAGGACGTGGAGGGGATGAGGATGGGAATGGATGGGATGAGGTTGGGGGGATAAGGATGGGATAGGAAGAGGCGGAGAAGGAGGAGGAAGAGGAGAAAAAGGACGGGGAGGACGAGAAGGAGGGGAAGGAGGAGGAGGAGGAGGAGGAGGAGGAGAAGGCCGAGGAGGAGGAGGAGAAGGAGGAGGAGGAGGAGGACGAGGAGGAGGAATGCGAGGACGAGGAGAAGGAGGATGAGGAGGGGGGGGAGGAGGAGGAGAACAAGGAGGATGAACTCATGTAGGCCTACCACGATATGTTCTTGGAACAAAGCCCTGTGCATCAAAGTAAGGCTGTCCCAGCAAAAGAAAGTCCTAGGAGCATCTCGTGCAAACCACGAATGGTTCTTAGAACATTCCTTGGTGGGCCACGAGCCCACTTATATATGAGTAACACCCGTGACCGGTCCCGCCCCCACCTTCCCACGCCACGGTTCGCGCCAGCGCCGTCTGGGAACTGGCCATTCTGAAACACTTCCAGACAGCGCTGGCGCGAACCGTGACGTGACCAGCCCACCCCCATCCCTCATTCCCCCCCCCATGGTCACGCGCGCTACCGCCAGGGAATCGAGAACTGTCCATGCAGGCGAATCAGGACGCTTCGCCACTCCATGACGTCCTCCTCATCCTCGCCTGCCTACCCCTGTCCCAGATCCCAGGCACGCAACCCTTCCTCATTCACATGAGTTCTCCTTCTCATTCCAATCCTTCTCCTTGCTATGATCATCCTTCTCATCCTCCATGTCCTCCTCCTCCTCCTGCTCCTGCTCCTCCTCCTCCTCCTCCTCCTCCTCCTCCTCCTCCTCCTCCTGCTCCTCCCTCCTCCCTCCTCCTCCTCCTCCTCCCTCCTCCTCCTCCTCCTCCCTCCTCCTCCTCCTCCTCTCCTCCTCCTCCTCCTCCTCCCTCCTCCTCCTCCTCCTCCTCCTCCTCCTCCTCCTCCTCCTCCTCCTCCTCCTCCTCCTCCTCCTCTCCTTACCCTCCTCATACCCTCCTCATCCTCGCCTACCGAGCCGTGCCCCGCCCGTCTCATCCTACAGCCCTGGCGTCCCGCCTTCGGGGACGAAGCGCCCCTGACAACGTTCTCTTGAGGCAGCCGCCAAAAGGTGGCTTGACTACGCTTGGACAGATTCCTGGATTAGGGGAACAAAAAGTGTCAGAAATATAAAAACTCAGAGGTCCGCGCGGATTTCTCAGATCGGCGCTGGACCCCCCTCCCTGGCGCGCGGAGCGCGCCAGGGGCGGCGCCGGAGGCGCCGCCAGGGGGGTCCAGCGCCGATCCGAGAAATCCGCGCGGAGCTCCGAGTTGTTATGTTTATGTCACTTTTTGTTCCCCTAGAACCGCTCGATCGGCCCAGGGCAGGTCCCGAAACAGAGCACGGCCATGTGAGCGTTTTCTTCTTCTTGGCATCGGTGAACCGATCACCATTCCCATCTCCATCCCCTTCGAGACCCCCACCAGATTGCCACCCCAGTTGGGGATACACCCCTCGAAACCCGAGGAGAACCACCTATATCCCCATCTGGGAGCGGGCCGCGTCGACACCCTTGAAGGCCATGTCGACACCGTGCGAGCGGGGCGCGGCCAGCGAGAGTGGCCAAGGATGGACCGAGGAGGCGAGGGTGCAGGGGTAGCCTTAGGAAGGTTGCCCATCCTCACTCTGCGGGCTGACTGTGCCCATCGGTCGGAAGAAGCAGGTAGAAACATGAAGTACGAAGGCGATGAAAAAAGGTTGGGTGTCCGCCCGCCCCCCAAAGAGGACGGAACAGGTGAAGCCACTCGATCATTGAAGTAGGAAGGCGCCTGAAGTAGACTGGAATCTGGGAACCCAAAGACATCGGCGGTGGACAAATCTCCCTTTAGTAAACCTCCCCTTAATGAAAACGGCCTGGGACCGAAACCGACGGACCTGGACCCGCAAAAACGACGGCCGCGACGCCCTCTCGCGAACCAAAGACGGCCACTTCCTTAACTCGACGTGTCAGGGTAGGAGGTCTGTCCACCCCCGAAAACACCCATCTCTAACGACAAATGGGCCACGGAGGGGTCGGAGAGAGAGGTGCACCCTCCGCGCGCGCTCGGGCCTCCCAGGGTCGGAGTTCGGGGCCCCCCTCCCTGCAGCCCTCGATCCTCCCGCGTTTACAGCCCCCCAGAGAGTTTACTCGACGGCGCGCCCGGGGGGAGCGAGAAGGAGCAGGCCTTCTCGGAAGGCGGCGGGGCTCTCCAGGAGAGCCACCACGCCTTCGGACAGGTGCTCTGTGCCTTCGGGGAGGCCTTCGAAACTCAGGAGGCCCGAGGACCTCCGAGCCTTCTGCGCGAAGGTCAGCCCGCCCGTCTCCCCCCCCGTTCACCGCCCCCCCTCACGAAACGCCCGGCACTTCTGCCCACGCGCCTTTCGCGCCCGTCCGCATACCCGGCTCGTGCGCGCGCCCGCCTGCCACCCGAGGCCTGGAATTGAGTCGGGCCTGACCTCCTGCAGGGGGATTTTTGGACGAAGAATAAAAAAGAAAGAATCCAAAAATCCACCACAATGGTATTGAAAAATAACACCAAGATCATCCCCCGACGAATGTTGGACTATCTTTGGATGCTCCTCCCGTGGAGGGACAGGCCCGACTCAAAACTGCAGGGCCGCGCCAGCAGGGCACCAGCCCCCCCGAACTGCTGCTGCACGGGCGAGCAACCGAAAACACTCGGCGGTGGACAAATCTCCCTTTAGTAGACCTCCCCTTAGTGAAAACGGCTTGGGACCGAAACCGACGGACCTGGACCCGCAAAAATGACGGCCGCGACGCCCTCTCGCGAACCAAAGACGGCCAATTCCTTAACTCGACGTGTCAGGGTAGGAGGTCTGTCCACCCCCGAGCAACCAAGAACACACTGGGGCCCTGGCGCACGACGGCGCGGCGATACCTCGCACGGTGGCCTGCGCGGCAGCAGGGCGCCCTCCCTGCTGCCCGGCGCGCACGGCCTCTGCGCGAACGGCCGCGCAGCACGACCAGGAGGAGGAGGAGGAGGAGGAGGAGGAGGAGGAAGAGGAGGAGGAGGAGGAGGAGGAGGGGGAGGAGGAGGAGGGGGAGGGGTCGCTCGGACGTCCATTCCCTGTGCATGTTTCGGTTTCGTGCTCCT